TGCATTTGTGCAGCACATCGCAACTTCTCCCCCACTTCTACACACACACACACACACACACACACACAGAGAGAGAGGTCCAAAAATGGTCAGAAATAACACATTTCTCGAGAAAACGAAACCGCCGCGGCCATCCAAAGCTGACAATGCTTGGACTGGTTCCTCCTTCCTGACCCACATCTTTGCTTCCCCTTTGGGTTTCCTGTTTCTCCTCAAGCGGGAGAAGTCCCCACCTAATAACAACTCGCTTAGCGGCCGTTCAAAGCAACGGTGGGGCCCTGAAAAAAGTGGCCCGAGACCCTTTTTCTCATTTAGCGGCCATCGGCGCTGGAAAAAAAAGGGGGACTTGTGACCAATTTTCCTCCCAGTTGCAGCAGCCCCGCGGGTCACGCAACTCGAATTCAAATGATTGGTGAGTGACACCCATTTACGAAGGTCCCCATTTTGTGACCTTTGGACAAGCCGAGTCAAGCAGAGCAAACCAAATTCATTGAACAAGCCCTCGTGCGAATTGAACCCCTCCAGCAATTCCCTTTTTAACGGTGACGGCAAGAAAGGTCACCCAGCGAACCGTCTCGGTTAGCAACGGAACGCTTGGGCTCGGGTGTGGTCGTAAGTCGAGGACTGCCTGTATTTGCAAAACTGGCTTGGGTTGTGGTGAGTTTTTTTGTTTTTGTTTTTTTGGCCTTGGGGGTTGTTTTTCCCCATGGACATAAGTGTTGTTTACGGCATAAAACGTCTGAGGTTACAGCCGGGCATTTCCCCCGCCACCGTCATCCATGTACAAACACACACACACACACAAACACACACCTCTTACCTGTCTCTGGCCGGCCCCGACTGTTGTGGTCACCAAATTACATCCCTCAGGATGCAGGAGAGACCAAGATAGGTTTCAGAATTGCAACCACAATCCCACTTGGTTTTCTGCTCCAGCCAAAGAATGCCCAGATGCTGGTTGGTTGATTGCAAGGGTCCAGAGGGAGATCAGGATCCTATCCTGCTGGTCAGGAATACTTTGAGAGGGTGAGTGCCATCTTCCCATCACTGAGCGATGTTCCTCTCCTGCTTCTATGTAGCCGTGTTTCTCCAGCCAGGCAGCTTTGAGTTGGGTGGACTTCAACTCCCAGANTTGTCAAGTATCAAAATACTACTTTTTGAACAGCATAACCATAATTGTATATTATATCTCTTAGGTTCCAGAATTACACAAAGCAACAACCTATGATCAGTTAACATACCTGGGTTCGTAATATTCTTAACTGGACTATCCCTTCATTCTCTTCTTCTCTCATTCTCTCTGTTGTTAACTGCAGTCTACCAATAAGGTTTATTTTACCTCTTTTTTGAACTTTAGCATTTTTTCTGAAAAAACCAAACAGGAAATGCAAAAAAAGAATAAACATATATAGGTTAGTTTTAATCAGTGGATGTTATTGACGATTTGAGAGACACAGCTACTTGGACTACAGAGATTTGAAACTGAATACAGACATTGGGAATTGTATCCATATACAATTTCCAATGATTTTTAGGAAAGCAATCCTGTTTTTTCCATTTACTTGAATATTTAATGGCTTTTCGTGATTTGTTAATATTTTGCTCACAAAGATTTAACTGTTTTATATTTATACATTATTATGGCTGAAAGCACAAAACAGGAAATTAATATTTACTAACAAAATAATGTGCTCTAACACTATAATCAATATTACAAATGCTTAATATTTAAGTGCTTTACTCATATTATTCTGTGTTCTTCATAACAGTATAATCTAATTGTAAATATTGCATATTGCCTAAAAAACTTTTGTTACAACACAATCTCAACACAATATAAGAAAGAGAACTGAAGTTAAAAAATAGTTTATCACAAAAATAAACTTCAAGCTGAGAATTGCTGGATTTAGTACTTAGTACTTTTAATTATATTATTCCACGTCATCTGACCTACCTTTAATGAGAACTCTTAACTAGGTACAAGGCCATCTCCACAAGGCAATATAAACAACAATTTATGTGCAAACTTCATACAAAATGATTTTGGTTGCACAGATGACTACATTGTCCTTAATGTCAGCAGAGAATGTGGCATGTGCATGGGAACAACTAAGTCTGTTTACCTGGCCTATCTCTTCTCTGCACAGTCTCTCTATTACGATTTACATTTGGCAGTTAAGAGAGCCAAGCCTGGTTAGTATTTGGATAAGACTCTCGGAAAATATCGGAGCTGGAAGAAAACGTATCAAAAGAATTGTTCTGCCTTGTTACCAAGAATTCTGCATGGTTATGCCATATAATTTCAGAATTCAAACTGAACTCAGGAGTCCTGCTATTCTACCTTAGAAACATAAAAAAAACCCACTGCTACTATATGGATATCCATCTAATATAAACTATACTGTGCGTAGTATGTCATATTTTTCTGTATTCATATGCTAACAATAATCCATGCAGAGACTATATGGATTATTATGATGTTATGATGGCATTAAACCAAGGGATTTACAACTTTTCCTCAAAGTTCTGGCCATTGCAGCANAAGCAAGCAGCAAAACAGAGGCTGACAGGCTCTTTAGGTAATGAGAAGTTATGTACATCCCCACATAAATGCCAGCCATCTATTCCACCTAGTTCATCTTAAAATGCAGATTCATACACATGGATATATTTCCTTCAAGGAACTCTGAAGTAGAATCAAATTGGTTTCACATTTTAAAACTTAATTTTATTATATTAAAATGTGTTAGTACATTTCATGTGTGTGTGTGTTTGTGTGTATACAGTCATTGCCTCTCATGATGGATAAATCAGATTACTTACCTGAAGAAAATTCATGACAGACATAAACATCTGAATCTCTGATTATTGCTACAATGGATATTAAGCTACTGTATGTTATCCTGTTTCTCCACTTGAAAAACTATCTTACTCGAGTAAAACATTGTAATTCCATTTCTCACACTTCATGTACACACAGAGTAATTATGGGTGTTATAGTTGGAACTCCAACTTTAAAATTGGAGAATTTTTTTTTGCAAAGGTTATTCCTATTTTAATTTTCTTTTCAAAATTGGGCCTGCAAAAAATTAATACATTCTACCTTTTTTAACATACTTTGAAAAGATAGCTAATCACTGGACTAGAAGAAAGAAATTGGAGAGAAAAAAACAAGTTGAAAAAAATTGCAGTAACTTCCTTTATATTTATACAGATGAACAAAGAGTAAATTACTGTCATTAAATTCTATAATAAAAATTGAGTTGATAATCATTGTCTATCCTCTAGTAAAGCCCAGAATTCTTCAAGAAGTTAGAAATCTTTTAATACCAGAATGTGGATATACATGTTGTAGAAATATATTTCCCAATGATTTGTGAGCAATATAGAATTCAGCCAATAAAGAGCAGTGAGCAGCATCTTTTCCTTTAAAACAGTCTGATCTTTATGAAAAGATAGCTGTTTGTGGATGCGACACAATTGTTTACAGTGGGGAACTTTTCTGTAGATACATGAGCTGGATTACTCCAGTATCATGATTCCAGATTTTGGGGAATTGAATATGAAGACTTTTTAACCTATACTTAACAGTAACATTTATATAGGAAGAGCAACGGGGAACAAATGTCAGACAAAATCATCAGCAAAAAGGTGTTAGGAGGGCTATAAGAAGTTAAGTAAGGCAAAATCTGATCAATGTTTTGTTTGGGGAATCATTTGAAATTTTCAGGACTATTTACTATTAGAAAAGGTCTCTAAGCCATAGCTTAAAGAGTTGCCAAGAACACTGTCTGAGCATGTCTCTGTAATTATTAGACATCAAATTTAAGGGATGGATTTCTTAATATAAAAATAGGACTGTTTCGCCATGAATAGCACTTTGTACACAAAAGAAAGAAAAATGAATGATACAAGCTTGCAATTCATCATTCCTCCTCTTTCCTCTTGTCACACCAAACAGTTTCTAATTATCATTTCCACGTGTCAGTATGGGGGTGTTTATGGGGGTGTTTACTATTCTTTCTTCCTGCCTAAGAGAACACCACATTTAGCCATATCAACCATTTTCACTCTAGAAATGATGGTTTAATGAGCAGAGCCTATACTTGGGAATAAGACTTTTTGATAATATGGAAAATATATGAATCAATCATCAAGTGAGGAAACAGAAAGAAAGAACTGAGAGCAAAAGGCAAAATATGAGTGACTCTGAATAAGATGCAGTTTCAATGCAATGCAATCTTTATATGGGGATTCAAAATTCATCACTTCTGATGAGCAGTGAGTGGGTAATATAGTCTTGTGTGCACAGTTACCCTATAGCTGCTTGCAACAAATTGGAAAATGTTTTCTGATTAATACAAAAAATGTAAAAATGTCTTTCTCTTCCCCCATCCTTCCACTAGATCTTTCCACTGAATCAAATGGATCTTCTGCTTCAGATTCAAGAAATCTGACTCAAACACATGCTTGCCATATGGCTCAAGGAGATTAAAGTACAGGATTAATAAATTCTTCAGGACTAGAAACAAATGAAGTCCTCAATTACTTCATCATGTCCAAGATTTTCTGAATTTATAGTTATTAAACAGCATACCCCAACCCACATATCAAAGTATTTTAATTCGGGGGGGGGGAATTATAAGGATCCAACATCCAACATCCTTGGATAAATCACAAATATAGTTCTTTTGATTTTGAGTCATATGGTATAATATACTAAAGCAGTGGTGGGAGAACCGGTTGTTAACTTTCTGAGCAGTTTGGCGAATTGGTTGTTGGAAGAAAGCATTAGGGCAGAAAACCGGTTGTTAAATTATTTGAATCCCACCACTGCACTAAAGGATAGTTTGTGTTATCCTTCAACACATGTGGCTGATGGTGAACAAGATCCTCTTCATTAATACTTCTATTACATGATTTTAAATTGAAATTCCTCTATTCTAACCATTGCTTAATTATTTTATAACATGGAAAATGTTTCAGATTAGACATGTCAAAGGAATATGCATTTAAGAAAAATATTTGGTAAGGCTGTTCAGGACTACAGAGTCTTGGAATGGCTGCTTTTAAAGACCAACTGATGTTATCTGAAATCTCCACAGATGCACAGAAGCAACGCCCTGAATGAGTCATGCCTCCCCAAGATCTAACATTAAATCTGTTGAAAGGAAAAAGCAAGGCAAGGGAAACCTTGAGTGAGTTTTCTTTTATTTGTTTACTTCGAAAGCAAATAATTATAGAACCAGTTGACTTTTTTTGGCTTTGCCAAATAAATAATTGAACTCATAAAAAAGTGATAAATTTAATTCATCTGATCACCAGTGAGCTGTTGATACTATGTCTTGTAAAAATTTCAGTGAAATCAGTAAAACAAGAAAGGCAAAAGAGATATAGATCATCATAAACGTCAATCACAACTCACATCAGATCCAGCCAACAACAGGCTGAAAAAAAGCTACTCTAAGGAACAGGATATATAGTGCTCAATAGAGCAGTCCATGGAGCTGTTGTGTCTTTGATGTAGTTTTTTTGACTTTTGGCAACTGCCTGGACTAATCCCTGCACTTTTTTTCGTAAGAGCCTCAGAAGTGGCTTCCCCTGGTTTCTTTCTTAGGGATGAAAATGATTGCCCAAACTCTTCTAGCTGGTTTTGAACCTAAAGAGGAATTAGAAGTCACAGCCTCCCAGTTTCTAGCCTGGTATCTTTAATCACTACACCAAATTGGCCCCCTAGTTCAATGGGGGGAAAAACCATTTAAAAAGTGATTACTACCATGCATATATAAAATATATACAATACCTGTATACATATCTCTGTACAAGTGAATTATATGTTATATTGCATATAAAAAGGGAGTTGGCTTTAATCATGTGGTGGCTGCCATCTTGACTTTTATGACCTTCCTCCTGCTGCTCAGGAATTGTATTGTTCTTTGTTAGGCAAGCAGTCACTTCACTAGCTAAGGATCCTGCAGACACCAACCTTATGAAATTGGATTCTTCCTCTTGGCCTTCCTCTTTTCAGTGTTGAATCTTTACTTTAAAAATAATGATTTCTTGAACCTGTAAAACTAGAAGAGCTGGAGAATCATTCCTGAGGCCATATAGTCAATAATGCAGTCTGGTCATCATTTCTCTAGTATGTTTTGAGACTCATTGGAAATTAAAATCAAAATCCTTTTCTTCTCCCCAAGTTGAACATGTTTTTAAAGCAACCCTACCATCTGAGTTTGTCTGCAGCCCCTTCCTAATTCTTCAGGTTCGAAGAAATATAGCATGTTCTTCTGTGCTGATCCTTCAAGATTTCTCCCACTATATATGGTCATATATGTGGTTGTTGTTTTTTCTAATGACCAACATGA